AGTTTCGGGGAAACCATCGAGGGAGAACAAAGACAATCGTATTGGACATTTAACACGCCTTGATGAGGCAATTCTCGTTAAACAGCAATGAAATCTAATTCTAAAGGCTGTTGTTGGTGTGGAATATGTGGAATATCGGCCTATACCGAAGGCAGAAGCACTGACTCGTCTTCCGCCGCTTGCATATGTTCCGAAATCAGCCAGGATATATAAGAGATTATGTTACTTGCAGACGGTCGAACACCCACTTCTACCTCTCCAGAATGTTTTCTTCCCAGTCTTCCCCCACTTGGTATTGATTTTTTTCTGGCGTAGAATTTTTACCAATTTCTGTCTTTTGTCCTAGGCTGTCTCAAGGCTACCCATCGAACGCGAACTGGGACGAAGAGAATTTTCAGGCTCACTGTTATTCCAGGCAGGAAACCCATTTGAACCAGACACAATCAGCTCCTTACACCCCTCCGCTTGTATTCAACGACGACAAGAGCCAGCTTGTGCAGCATCCACTTGGTACAGCAATATCCCCGGCGGGGCATACAAGCGGAGCCTCGTCGTCGCTATGGTATATGCATGGCGATTCGTTATCCAACAACACAGTCGGAGCTCGCGTAGTTTCTGCTAACGGAAACCCGTATTCCCATACGCATGGCAACTGGAGCTCCCACCAGAGTTTGCAGAGTTCAACGAACCCAAGTTGTTGGCAAGAAGGACAGGGCTCCGGCTTTTCACAATTGGCTACACCTTCGAGTTCACATTTGGTGAGTTCACATATCAATAGTTTCAACTGTATCAAGGATGTTAACTGCTTGTTCAGGGATCTGTGCTATCGATGCAAAGCAGTACGGATGGCTGTGACAGGGCAGAGCGAAGGTTTAAATGCCAATACTGTTCCAAAGCATTCACAGCAAAACATAACCTACAATGTACGTCAACTTGAAAAAATAGAATCAGTGTGGTTTCGATGCTGATCGATTTCTCATCATACAGCGCATATTGACCTTAAACACCTCAACAAGGTCAAGCCCATTCATTGCGAATTTTGTGGCAAGGCATTTACTGGGACGCGTGCTCTCGTTCGGCACATGGAAAACAGGAATGCCTGTCCTATTTCAACCCGGGCCAAGTAGTGGAGGGGGCACGTTCTAAGAATGCTGTCCGCAGCCATTTTTTAGGCGGATTGCTGTTCCACCTGCTCCTTGGGTTTGGCGAGTTCTTGAAGAAGCATAAGGACACACCTAGTGGCGTGTACGCAATCTACGTATATTATAGCGCAGATCTCCGTTCCGCAGGAAGAAATATATAGCGAGTTGTTTACACCGAGTTTATTGCATTGGTCTTAATATATACAATTTCTCTTCGAGGTGTGTTTAGAAGTCTAGAAGTCGGCCCTGCATCCGTAGTCTCGTGCAGTGTCCCTTCTGTTGTATAAGGAAGCCGCGAGGAGGAGTGGCACCAGTGACGATGCTTAGCTTATCTAAGTATGTACATATGCTTGTTGAGACTGAATATGTGTGATGAAATAAGCGTTCATTATGAAAGGGTCGAGCACGTAGTACAAGATAAAGGAAGCGGGCTTCTGTACTTGCTGGGATTTTCCGCTTTTATGATTTGACTCCACTTCAAAAATTTCAGCTTACACAGGGAAGAAAGTTATCACGGAAAAGCTACAGATGTCCTCAAAACTAGAATAGTCATTTGGGGTTGGTGCCATGGTTGGAATGATTAATGCAGCAGTTGCAAACGGCAAGCAAGCATGTAAGCGCCCTCTGATCATCTTGTTGCTGCTCTGTCAGATGTACCCTTGCTTCCTCTTGGTCACTTTCCCATCCGCAGGCACCGGAACACTCAGGCCCTATAGCAACGGTTAAGTCTGCGAAACCCGACCCAGTACGAAAGACTGACCGATCAACCGTGTAATGAGATTCTGAGATTCTAATTTCTGACGACCTAATCCTCAAGCGTCCCTCGTACCCGAAGCCCGAAACGATTAGCAGGTGTTGGCGTGGTTACGGGAATGCCAGAACGATGTCAGGATGGACGGGCACCTTTGAAACCCACTTCCACTGTAGTAAAGGTGTGTATGACTTGTTGGTCATCAAAAATTACTTTGCTCAAAGCGACGAGCAATCGGCTTCTCTAAGGATTGCAGGGCTTTGCCGGGATGAAAATTTACCTGCATTGGGGATAGTCCATGGAGGCCTCTTCCGGTGAAGTCGCAGAAGACCAGGTGTATTCAAAAGTACAGCGAATGATCAGAGATTACATTTTCAAGCCGTGTGCTCACTATGTATGAAAACAATTACAATCTCGTCCACTCGCATCTCTTGCCCAACTCCCTCCAACCCGTTCCCGCACCTGCTGTCTGAGATTGAGGAAGTTCGGATAAGACCTTTGCGATGAACCCGGGATCGGTAAGCGGAGTGAGATCATCACGTTTTGGTAGATGCTGAGAACACGAGAAAAGGAGTAGTCCAATGAGAGATTGAAACTGAGATTTAGGCAATCACTTACGACGCGCACGCTCTCGTATGGAGCTTCCCAGCCGCTGGTTTCCCTAATCACCATTGGTGCCTGTTCCCCGCGTTCTTTATACTCCAGCGAAGAATATATTCTGGTATCGAAAGTACGGAATAAAACGCCGTCGACGCGAAGGGTAAACCGAGAGAGGATGAATATGCATGTCGGCATTACGCGTATCCTTACAACTAGGGCGCTGCTTCCATTATCGTGCAACTCATCTTCGAATAAAGGAACTTCGGCGTAGAAGAGGATCGGATCGGGACGAGTCAGTTCCGCCATGGGTATTGTCGTGTGATTATGGGAGGACGACGTTGATGAAGGGTGCCATTCAGAACGTCCTGAGGATGACGCCTGAGTAGAAAGAGAGAGACCAGAATCGGAATTCAAAGCCATCGATGCCATGGATGAAGAAAGAGATTGAGCATGATCAGATGATGAATGTCCCCGATAAGTTGTTGTATACGTCCAATCGTAAGGTTTCGTCGGCACTGTTTTGGGCATCAGAAGTAGCGCTGAGAGACCAGTGCGATTTTTCATCCATTCCTCTGCATAATTCACCTTTACATCTCCATCTCCTGGCTCTAGTTCGCCCGTTTTGACACCAAGCAAGGCGTGCAGGTATCAAACTGATACACCCAGCCACTTCTTCCTCTTCTCCTTTCCGAGATATCTTTACTCTCATCTTCATCTTCAACATTGCTATCAGCCTCCACGCTCTTGCTCTCAAATATCCCGTCAGCTCTATACTCCAATTTGAGTGTGTTATTACCGAAAGTCATCTCCGGCAAAGCCTTAGCACCCTTACTAGCTCTGCTCAACTCTGCCAGCAACTGATCGCATTCCGTGGATGAGTCGTGCCGGTAATTCGCCAAGAATGTGAACAGCAGGCTTCATAATCTTTCATAATCGGGTTTTGAAAGGGAGGCGGTCGGATGAGAAGATGACACTGATAGTACAGCGGTATGGTAGACATTTCAAAGGGTTCTATGGATGAAGATGGGATAAAGGTGAAGGTGATGGCGTGAGCGAGAGTTCTGCGAAAAAGAGATTTTCGATACCAACCTAACGTATGTGTAAACGATGTTGGCTGGACTGAGTTCTGTTCAATGTATTTTTGCTAGCAAGAATTTCCTAGCCCAGATGATGAAAAAACTGCTGTGCGTCAACATGACAGACTGCC